TAAATGTGAGCGGGGGCTGGTGGGGCCGGGTGGGGGCAGGCATGTGCGAGGGGCAGGAATCGCTCAGTTCCTTGGCGGGCAGGGATCCGCTCCGGCCCACGGCCGCCAGCCTGCCGCCCTGCCTGAGCCTGGGGGGACTGCGTAGACCCGGCCCCCTCGCTGCCCTCCGTTGTGTCACAAGAACAACTAGCCCGCAGTGAGCGCCCACCCCTCCCTCCCGGGGGCAGGCTGCAGCGTGATGGGCCATCACCCCCTTTCCCTTCTCTCTGTCCTGCAGCTCCCTGGCATCACATAGAGAACCTGGACCTCTTCTTCTCTCGCATATCCTTGCTGCACGGGGGGTGGTCAGAGCAGCATCAGCCTGGCCAGCAGTCTGTCGGAGAGGAGCTGTGGGGGGCGGGGGGATGGGGCAGAAGTGACTTTCTCCACCGTCGATGGGCCGCCCGGACCTCCTGTGTCAGTACGACGTTGGGCTCGGGATCCGTCTTTTCCTAGCTCCGTGCTGCCGAGGTCCTACCCTACTGGCTATGGGGTGTCCCCGGGGGGGGCGGGACTTTGGGTTCCTGGAGCAGGCTAACCTGGCCTTGCTGTGGGGGGCGGGGGGATGGGGCAGAAGTGACTTTCTCCACCGTCGATGGGCCGCCCGGACCTCCTGTGTCAGTACGACGTTGGGCTCGGGATCCGTCTTTTCCTAGCTCCGTGCTGCCGAGGTCCTACCCTACTGGCTATGGGGTGTCCCCGGGGGGGGCGGGACTTTGGGTTCCTGGAGCAGGCTAACCTGGCCTTCAGCCTGGGCCGGGCACGGAGGCCAGGCCTGCCTCGCCCTGCAGCCATCCGACCTGACTGGTGGCCAGTGAGAGGATCGGGATGGGAGGGGGTCTGGGCCCGTCTCCTGGCTGTTCTCCTTGACTGCGCTGCCCACGTCTATAACCTGCATCAGAAGAACGGCTTCACCTGCATGCTGATTGGCGAGATCTTTGAGCTCATGTACGTCTCGGGGGCTGGGCGGGGGCAGGCTTCCTCTGGGCTCTTGCTGCAGTTGGGGTGAAGGGCTGGTTTCTTTGAGCCCCAGCATTTCCACTCACCCAGAGTTGGGATCAGGGCCCTCCCCTTTCAGTCAGGGCCTGTCTCCCTCTCCCGCTTTGGTGGCCACCTCCATCCCCAGGAATTGGTCCCCTGCTCCCCAAATCTGCTGATGTCATGCCAGGGGCATTGGGACCTAGGGGCCAACTGGTGTGTTGGGGGCAGGAGGAGTGTTCCCCTCACGGCCGCTGCCTCGCCCACAGGCAGTTCATTTTCGTGGTGGCCTTCACCACCTTCCTTGTCAGCTGCGTCGACTACGACATCCTGTTTGCCAACAAGATGGTGAATCACAGCCAGCACTCCAGCGAGCCCGTCAAGGTGACGCTGCCAGACGCCTTCCTGGCCACGCCTCCGCCTCCAGCCCTGGCAGCCTGTCACCCTTCCAGGCCAGGTTCGGAGCCAGAGATCCCAGGCCTCTCCCGGAAAGAGGTCGATGGAGTGGTGGACTCTCTCCCCCGTGTAGTCCACAGCCCTTGCTCTCAGAGGCTGCAAGTCCCTGGTTTGGCTTGACCTGTGTGGCCGGGCTGCCTTGTGTTCTGGGTCATGTGTTCCTGTGAGTTGTGCGTGCTGGCGGCATTCTGTGCATGGTTACGTGGCTGGTGTATCCACCCCAGAGGTGGGTGTGTGCACTGAGTACCGCTCGGGCTCCCGCGGGATACGGCTGCGCGGTGGGCTTGCCGAGCTGCAGGTGTCGTCTCTTCTCCCTCGCAGAATCCAGCAGAACGGCTTCCTCATCTCCATCCTGGTCATAGCCAGCGTGTTCTGGGTCCATCGACTCATCAAATTTATCTACAACATCTGCTGCTACTGGGAGATTCATTCCTTCTACATCAACGCCCTCAAGATCCCCATGGTGAGCGGCTGAGCCCTAGGAGAGGAGGTTCACCCCACCCCTCGCGCGAGCCTCATTTCTCCGTCTGGGGCCCCGCCCACTGCCCGGACGGGTTCTGGTCAGAGGTGATGCAATCACGTGGCTTCCTTTCAGCTTGTTTTCGGCAAACGCCCGCCTGGGAGATTCATTCCTTCTACATCAACGCCCTCAAGATCCCCATGGTGAGCGGCTGAGCCCTAGGAGAGGAGGTTCACCCCACCCCTCGCGCGAGCCTCATTTCTCCGTCTGGGGCCCCGCCCACTGCCCGGACGGGTTCTGGTCAGAGGTGATGCAATCACGTGGCTTCCTTTCAGCTTGTTTTCGGCAAACGCCCGCGTGGGGGGTGTCGGGTCTTGCGGCGCAGCTCTCCAGCCAGTGCTGAGCTTTTGGACCTGCTCGGCCCCGCCCTGCCGTGCCAGAGCCTCGCCCGCGCCAAGCTGCCTTCTCCAGCTTTCCCAGGCAGGGTGTAACCAGGGAATCACTGAGAGGCTCAGTTCAGGGCAAAGTGTTCATGGACAGAGTTACTTACAGCCCAGCACTGGCTTCCCCCGCTCTAAGGCACCAAACCACTGCTGCTCACCACACTGGTTAACCAGAAACCGCACAGGCAATGGCCTGCGACGCTCCAGTTCTCCTGTGCCCACCCAGCCCCGCTCCTTACACTGGGGAGAGGTTCTAACCCATCCCCCACCTCCCCTCGGACACCCCAGTGCTCCCTGTGGCCCCCCCCCAGCCCCATCTCACCTGGGGGAGAGGTTCTAACCCACCCCCCCTCCCCTC